GCGACGACAATGGCAACGCAAGGCCAATGAGAAAAAGATGTGGGGCGCTGCACACTTGACCCTACTCCTTCAGGAGAAAATATCCAGAACCTTCACAGCAGTTGAAGCATACGGTTGGACACTATTCTCCAAGGAGTCGCGAAGATCTGTTCACCTTGCGGTTTCAACGGTCTTCTTCTCATGGCATCCATTTTTGACGTCTCCAATAACTGGACCTGCGTGGCCAGAGGTGAACCTTGAAAATCTCCTCCACACACCTCCGGAAAATGGACCATGGGCAGAAATTTCCCAAAGGGTGCGATCCAAGACAAAGAAGTTCAACAGATCTACTTCGCACCAATCTGCGGGCAGACACGATTTACGGAACGAGGTTCTCATGGCGATGCGCCCGAGATTTGGCAACGAGAACCAAGAAGAACGAGTTCCTCGCAGAGGACACCGCATCCTCCTAAGGATGAAAGAAAGCGGATTTACGTACAAGGAAGCCTTGGGAGGCAAGCCAAACAGCAAGTCAACGCCGAAACCTTCGCAGCCACACAGAACCACTCCAAACCTCGGAAAAGATATCAAGACGCGCTGCTACTTTTCACTGCTCTTTGCTGGGCCAATGATCGGTGCTGGAAGGTGCGTTCCAACCGCAATGCCCAGCTTTTGCTTTGCCTGGAATCCTGGCAAGAGCAATCAATCACAGAAACGCTGGCCTGCTTGGCCGGCCGCAGGGCGCGGATTGAAATGGGGTTTTAGACTTCCAGGCCAGCACAAGGGCCATGCAAGCATCAAAGCATCACGCCCCCTGCGAACGCAACACACAGACCAAAAAACCCGGGCTAGCTTGGGGGGCGAAAGTAAGGTTTTTCGTAGGGCCTGATCGTCCGACCCCGCATCAGATAACTCCTGCAAACAAGCCAACACTGATCAACTTGCATTTCCCGACCTGACATGAAGGACCTGCGCCCCGCCTGTAGCCAATGCTGAATGCGAGATGCTAGAGAAAGACCACCGACAACGCAAGCTTTTCTTGGGAGCTTTCTCCTCCTTGGCTTGCTGATAGCGAGGCCTGACGCCTCATGCGAAGGGGCAGAGAGAAAGTTCTGTCTGGGGCCAAGGGTGGTGTTTCCATGTAGAGCCCGGGTTGGCCCGACACCTTGACTCGACACAGATGCAGCGCGCTGCCTTCCCCGTGCGCCCCTGTCACTTTCTTCTTTTTTCGTGAAGGTGGCGCATCCAACGCCGAGCCGTCTTTCAACCGTGGCGAGACTTGGCACACGCTATGCTGAGGCTGAAAGCCCCTTTGCCACAAACAGCCTGTGATTGGCTCGGTGTGTGGTTGGGTTGCTTGGTTGCTTGCTTGGTTGGTTGCTTGGTGCGCAGCATGGCTACTTAGTTCGCCTGTTTAAGCGTAATGTTGCTGGCGGTTCATTACTGTTGTTGTTGCTGTTGTTGTTGATGATGGTGGTGTTGTTGATGTTGCGGCTGCGGTTGTCATGGTCGTTGTCGTTGTCGCTGGTGTTGTCGTCGTCTTGGTTCTGGTTGTGGTTGTTGTTGTTGGTTGTCGCTGGTTGTTGTCTCCCGCTGCGACTCTGCAACGCTAAGACCCACGACAGCTCCCGCTCGGCACGGCTCTGCAGCATGACGACCCATGACAGCTCTCCCACAGCAAAGTCCACGACTCCCGCAGTCTGCAGCTCTAGAACCCGCCACAGCTCTCACCGCACGGCAGCTGGAGCAAAGCGCTGCTTGGTTGGAGCTCAATAACTCCCACAACAGCAACACGACACCCAAACTCCGACTCAGGACAGCTCTTGCGCAGCACGGGTCTGCAGCTTTGCCACCAAAGACAGGAATGGCGGCGCACGACAACGGATGATTTTAGTACTGATTATTTGCCGGCGACTCGCGGCCAGAAGCACAACACAGAAGCAGAGGGGTGTGTCAAGGCGACCGAAGAAACGCTCAATGAAAAAGAATTCAAGGCAAGCATGCTCGCACGTGTCTTCACAGAGGACGGTATGAAAGGAATCATCAAGGAACAATACGTAACTCTGAAAAGCCACCGAAAAAGAACGACAACCAACAGTCATTTCGCCGACATGAGAGACTGTATCCTCTAGGCAAATACTCGAAATTTCTACTTCCGTGAACAACAACAAAATTTTGGGTTGTGAGGCGCAACTCTACTGTGTTCTTCTGCGGGAGACCTCGATCACGTCCTTCCCAGAGGTGACTGATTGTGTAAGCATCAGATCATGGGTTGTAGTTTATCTTCGGCTCCTTCCCAGATTCCTGCTGGTCTACGTTGACACACATGATCATCTTCTTGATAGGCACCTTGTTGGTTGTGATCAGTGTTTTGCCACTTGTTCACCATACTTCTCTTCATCATAATCGAATCTGTATAAGAACAGCGCGGAAGGAAGAGCAGGGAAGAGAAGACAGATCCACAAGAAGGCGAGTCTCCTACGCACCCAGACTACGAAATCTCTGTTGGGATGGACTGTCCGAGTATGTCGTCAACAGAATGGACTTCGGCGATAAAGACTGGATTGAGATGGCGAAACAACTCCAGGAAACAGCTGCGGACCTAGTGAACAAGCTGACTCAATCAGGGTTCAAACTTGACAAGCAGAAACCATGGATATGTCCAATGTTCACGTCGCCAACAGGGCTTCACCAATCTCCAACTTGCTGGTGTAGGAAACAGCTGTGCACCTCATGAACAAGCGATTGACTCAGGATTCAAGTTGACAAGAAGAAACCATGGATATCTCCAATGTTCACGCCGCCAAACAGGATTCACCAATCTCCAACTTGCCAGCATTGCCTCTGCCAAAAAAATGAAAAAGGTGCTTCTCTGTAGTATACAAGGAGAAGGACAAGAACAGTCCAACTTAGCCTTTTTGTGCCCAGCAACCCGAACGCGGTTATCCGATCAGGATTCCATGTGGTTCGTCAACTAACATCAAAAGATACTCTGAAAAAGAGAAAGGAGTGCTTGGAAATCCTTCAACATGTACTGCAGTCAACGAAGACGAAGAGATGGTTGGTGACTGGGCTGCAGGGTGTGAAAGAACTTTGCAAATGAACAGCGCCTCGAACCCATGGCAAGGCCCGGAGCCCAGAGCTGGAATTCCTGCTGGATCGTGAAGTGGCCGGTGGATCCGTGTCAGGGCACCATGGCCGCGAAGCGGGTAACGTGGACTTTTCACTTTCTTTCCGAGGCATACCTCCAATTATGGTTGCATGGTTGCCATGTTGGTGCTGCATTCTGAGATCACCTTCCGCTAGGAGGGGTGGCGGGCCTTTCAGACACGCTGTGCAGGAGAAAAAAGTGTTTAGATGGAGACGCCGACTGCTCCCTATTTGCCGTGCTGCGCATGGGTGAGACCACTGCTCAATGCACAGCGCACCTACATTCTCGGACGCCTTGGTTTCGACACCAGCCAACTGAGCGAAGCAACCGTCATGCTATGGGTGTTTCGCATCTGTATAAGACTTGGAACACGCTTTCCATGTATATCTTGGCGTTAGCCGGATCCTTCTTCCTAGAGACAGCATTGCGCAGATTTGACCCATTTCCCATCAAGACCACGCTACGTTCAGATGGTTAGACAAAGATGCAAAAGCGCCCTTAAAACACCCGAATAAGGTCATCTAAGCTGGCCTTTTCGATGACAAGCTCACACTTGTCGTACCCTTGTTTCCGGAGCTAAGCTGTCCAGCCATAAGGACGCACGCTCTCATCACAGGCGGAATACGCCTCGGCGTTATGCTGCGCTTTGCACAACTTTCAGCAAAACGTGGACCAATCGTAACCTTATCCCTCATCGGCCTGTCCCACTGTTGGAGCGACGCCCCATCTCGGATTGGGTCCTTGAGTTTCCCCTCGCGTTGGTTCCAGGCCAAATCGCAGGTTCAGCAATGAAAAGAAGCCCCAGTAGCAAAGAACTATGGAGCCCAACAGAACTGGGAGTAGAAACGGGTTCAGTAGAAACGGGTTCAGTAGAAACGGGCTCACAAAAAGAGCTTTTTTGGATGCAGTAAATCAGGGAGCGGATCGCACGCAGAGGCGAGCCGCAGGAGCTGCCAGATATGGGTTGCAGCAATGGGCAGATTGTGCGTTGGCAGGGTCCGGCGTTCATTCCAACTATCCACTGCGACGCTCGGCTGAGGGGTTATGTGTGAGCCTGCTCGGACCTTCGTTTCTCGTGTGGTTCCACTATCGGCAGGTTCTAGTCTGGCACGCTGGGGAAATAGCAGCCTCGCGACATTGACGGCGCGGAAGGAGTAAGTAAGCTCTGACCATGTCATACAGATCACCAAAATCCAATCCAGGAAGCTCATTCACCGCTTGATATGATGCACCCCTGATTATTGCGTGCGTCAATGGCGATTAGGTTGGGGAATGAGCTCCGTCAAAAAAAGTCACTTCCTGCTTTAGACCTGCTTGCGTACCAAGTTACGAGTTCTCTCAAACAACATCCAAGACCCCCGCTTACCCATTCGTCGGAACAAAGGGACGTCCTTCGTTCGTGTCCGCCCAAGGGTCCGCGGCGCCAATACGCCTGATAACTGGAAGAAAGGCTGACTAGTTTACAGCAGCGCAGCGCAGCGCAGGCAAGCAAGCAAGGAGCGCATCGAGCAAGCAACCCAAGCAGCAGCGCAGGCGCAAACCAAACAAGCGCAGCCCGCTGCCGGCTGGGTTTGGCCGGAGGGGGACGGGCGGGCGGCGAGCGCCGTGCGCGTTTCGGCCGCTATGACAAGTCCGAGACGCGCTGTGAAAACTTGAGCCAAAATGCCGCCTTGGCCACTGGCTATGATAAATTTGGCACAACTTAGAACCCGCAGAGGGGTGGCCCGTGATGGACGAGTTGACCCAGAAACCATACTCAACCAAACATCCCTGTAAAAGGACGCCAACAGCTTCCACTGCCCCAAGCCGCTACCCCTTTGATTCCGTCACTACCTAAGCTGACCGACACGTTTTGGCTTCGGGACGTGGC